GGCTGCGGCGGCGGCGGCGTGGGCGTGCGCGGGCGGCGGCTGGCAGGCCTGCGCCAGGCCCTGGAAGTCGAAGCGGTAGGCGTAGCGCTTGCCGTGCACCTTGCTCATGATGTTCTTGTCGTAGTAGTAGCGCAGGGCCCGGCTCAGCTTGTCGTAGTTCATGTTGGGCTTGCTCTTGCGCTCGCCCCAGCGCCGCGCCACCTCGTCCGGGTCTGTGAGCTTGAACTCGCCGTGGCCGCCCTCCCACGCGATGCAGCCTGCGTTCGCGCGGTCCGCCAGCAGCTCCAGCAGAAACTGCCACAGCTGGATCTGCCCGCTGCCTGCGGGGAGGGGGGCGGTCAGCTGCAAGCGGGAGGGGGAAGGCTGGAACTGGGGGAAGAGGGGAGGCGGGAACCGGCATCCGGGAGGGAAAGGACACGTCCAGCTGTGCAGCTGCGGGCAGCTGGAGCGGCTGGCCAAGGAGGGGCTGATCAGCAGACAGGTCTCTAATCATTACTGCGCTTTTGCACAATGGAAACACTTAAGAGGACGGAGCGTCTGGGACTCATGTTTTGTGGGAACTCATGTTTTGTGGGAATTGGGGACAGAGGAGGCAGCATCACCTCCTCCACGTGGAGGCAGGGGCGCACCAAGGCATTCGGCTTTCCAAGGTGAGCGAGGGCCAGATATCAGCCCTACTCTCCTCCAGGCAGCCGTGGGCAGGTGATGGACTGTCCCATCCCAGCTGGACCACGTCTACAGATACAGAAGGGAATGGACAGGTGTGCAGCGGGACGACCCCAGCCACTATTGTGCGAGGCCCAGCCAGTCCCCGGCCCACAAAGGCACACAGTTGGACAGGCCCCGCCTGAGGTGGAGTGTCACTAGCTTCCTTAGGACATCACATCAGACAGGAATGGGGACTGTGCCTGCCTGTACGTGAGAGGAAGGGCAGGCTCTCAGAGGCTCCCCATCCTAGCAGCCTTCGGGTTGCTGGCACTGCACAGGTTCAGCCTCTTTTTTTCGGAACAGGCGGGATTCCCTGTGTGCAAAGGTGTCATAATTCCCTGCGGCCTGATGAATAGCCCTGAGAAGGGGGGATAGGACGGGAAGCGGTTGTGCTCGTCTCCCGGCCTCCTCCCTTCCTTGGCTGATCTCTCTCGGATCTCGGGATTGCTGGGGGTGGCAAGGAGGTTTTCCTGGATATGCGGGTGGTGAGTGAATGGGGACCCCAGTATTCCCGCTCCCCTGTCTTGGAGTTTCAAGCAAAGCTGAGAGAAAAAAAATCGTGATGCAATTACCCCCATTCCCATTTAGAATAAAACGGGTTTTCCTCGAAGTTATCTTATTCTTGCCACAAATCGAGTCTGGTGAACCCCTTTCTTTTTCAACCACTCGCTCAGAACCCAGACGCTGCACCCCCCCCCCATCAATTTTAAACGAATCCCTCCAAGCCAGCCTATCGAAGAGCTGCCTGGTAGGTCGGGGGCATTGAGTTTTAGGGTCAGAAACAAAAAAGGTTTAGGTGGAAATGTGCACCTGGCACCGACGGTGGAGCTACATCAGAGGCTTGGAAACCCGTTCCTGGTGGGCGTCGTGTTCCCTGCTGGATAAAGCACTTGCCAACCTCGTTTTTGTGGTTACTGTAACTTGATGAGGTCCAGGGTACCGACTAGCGACTAGGCATTGTTTGGAGGGCCAGCAGCCACCAGGGCAATTTGGTTACCCGCGGAGCGCCGGCGGCAAACCTGGGAACAACCGCAATCTTCCGGCGGATTTGGCCGGCAGAAATCAGCCGGCGTCGATTTCTAGGTACTATGTCGGGGTCTAATGGTTGGGCAACCCAGCATGGCAGGGGAGTAATTCTCCGGGTCCCCTTGCCAGGCAGTGCTGCGCTCTTGCACCCCAGCTGCCCACAGGGAAAGGATGCCAAGTACATCAGCCCCAGCCCTAAAGCCTGGAAAACCATATGCAGCAGAAAGAAATGCCGGGGGCTGGGGGCCAGGGGCCAGGGGGCAGGGGGGGG